CTACACGCGTGTCTGCAAGATCCGTGTACGGGCCATGACGGCACTTGCATTGGACTGACATGATGATTCGTGTCATTGACCGGGAAAGTCTACAGGACCCCGATTGGGCATGAAAGAACGCGTATTTCCTTGCGCTGCCCCGACCCGATCCTCTGAAATTCCCGTACCAGCAAGGAAACGAACGAGTTTGCGACTGGGATATATGAAAAGCATTAGACGCCGTTTCCTACGCAGCCCAATTCCCTGAGTCCCACACGAGCCACGTCCTCTCCGAACCTGGTATCGTCATCCAAATAACCCACTACCCACCTTACCGAGTGGTGTTACCCTTCCACCACCTCACAATTATCCCATAGCATGCGATCGCTTCCTACTGGCCCCGAACCCCCTGCTCTCAGTGCCAGCGGGACAGCGCGTATCGAGCCTCGAGATTCGTTCCCCGAACCCGAACAGAGACTGACCGACGAGCACACAACCTCCGATTGAGACCTTCGTCGTCCGATTTCGAAGTCTGCAGCGATCGACGACAGCAGCTGATCAGACTGCGTGACACCCACAGCGTCCAACCCGTCCATCAGGTCCTCGACCAACCACAAAGTCGAAACCAGGGGAGATGGTGATTCCCATTTTCGGGCTTGTTGAGTTCGTAAGCAGGGGCCATGTTGTTGGGATTTTGTTCGAGAATGCAAGAGTGTTTAGATCTGTCGGTGCTGTGATCGTGGAAAAGTACCCCGGGATCTCTAGTCTGGAATGCACTGCACATGCCAACTGCCCAATGCTGCATGACATCTRYARCTTTCCTTTTGTGCACAARCCACRAGAGGTGGCCTACCTTCCTTTTTATAGTGCCAAGTACGACCTRCMCATACCCTCTTGCGCTTTTACCCYCGAAACTTGCCACAGGAGATCTCAGTTCCGACCTGGGACTCCACCCCCACTTTCCTAAAATCCTTGGCACACCCCCTTTCGCACTCCCGGGCCCCCATCCTACTCCGATCAGGAAGTTGCRCTGSGCGTGAGGTTGGGTGTCAGAACGTTGGTGCTGGTRCGATACCTCGCAGAAGAGGATGCTATGCACGTTAGCAGACCGAGAAGGCAGMAGATGAAGGCGAGGAAAGAGAGGTATGAGTGGGTGGTGTCGAAGATGGTGCAACAAGGCTTGGCGAAAAGGCTGGTGGGGGAGTGCGAGAGAAAGTTCTACGCTCTTGTGGACCAGGCGAAGAAAATCAGGGACTTCCATAACCRGTCGGGCGAGTGAATCTATTGGAATGTGGAGAGAAAGCAGGCCGGGTTGCCCCTGCATTATGAACATTAATGCTGGGATGCGATCCAGTGGAAGTTGGGGAAGTCTTCCGGGTATTTCGACCAGGTGGTGAACTTCGTTGATGTTCTTGAAGGTGCCACCAGCGCTCTCACATCAGATGACGAAGGGGGGAGGGGTTTGAGCGAGGGGCCTATGCCACGCAGGCGGGCGGAGAGTGACATGTCGGAGGGGTTGAAGTACTAGCGTATCTAAGGAGGAGGGCGACGCAGCAGGTCGTTATGTTGCACCCCGTACGAATACGAGGCGGCCGTACGGGCCGTACGCGCCGTTTCAGCGGGCTTCCCGGGGGGCTTCTGACACCTGAGGGGGGGGGGGG